TTTCAAGAGTCTTTTCAGTCTTAGAACCACTATTTTCCGATTCGGTTACCTTATATGCTCTTGCCCTCGGTTTTCAATCCTTCTTCACCATGTACTATCTCGACAAAACAATCCCGATTTATCAACTATCATCAATCATAAATCCTCTTCCCCTATACAACATTACAGCACCTTGCTCTCTGTTTGTTACAATCCAAATACCGCCATCGGAAAGTGCTGGAGAATTCGGGTCGTCGTTCTATTGTCAAAAACTGAGCCAGATTACCCTTTCTCGGGTGATACTTCTCAATGAATTCAACAGGTTAGTGGTTATACTCGCCTTTATCCAAACGAAGTAAATGGGGAGTGCATGCAGTGATGATCTTTCAATACTGCAGCGAAAGATAAATTAGCAAAAGCCGTGTTCTATTATTAATTTTCAGATCGATGACGAAGGATCTGAATAGCCTGCATGCCTCTCGGCACATGGTGCTATGTGGTAGAATCGGGCCGAGACTGTGCACTACGTGTTATTATCGTCCCTTGTTACCGGGATAAATAGTCCCTGATGTTTTTTGGATCTAACCATTTCCACGAGTGTGACCGCAAAGCAAATCATAGGATGGCAACTACTGCATCATATGCATAATCAAGGGTCGTAAGCGTTGCATTCCCGTAAAAGATTCCGATTTGTAAGTATTTACATTTGTCATCTTCTAGACCGATTCCATTTGGCAAGAAAGTCAATTTTATGCGACGTCCGCGAAGGTCGCCTCCCCAAAGGCCTGTTCAATCCGTAATGCCAATAGCCCCATGGATAAAGCGGATAGCCACCTGATGCAAAAAAAGATGGAGTACAATAGTCACGTTGGATTCTCTTAAAAATACGAGCCAAGGTACTTCTTCCGTCCCCTCATTCATACACGACCCCACATACTCGATTCACGTAACACGTAGTACGACCAAGCTACCCGTATTAGGAACCCCGGATACGAATTGGTTCATGGATTAAAGGCTGCTATGAATTCCACCTCAGCCAATACCAATGGACCCTCGACAGCAACCAACCAGACAATGAGCGGGGATGGCATGAGCAACCTCGATTCAATGATCGCCTGTGTTAGCGGCTCATATTTCCGCCAAACGACTGCTAGGTGAGAGCCATTTGTTCTTTGGTCCACCGTCCTGAGAGGTACTCGTTCTAATCGCTTGTAACTTTGCATTATTGCGACGTTTTCATACGGGATAAATAGTTGGCTTCCTAACATGGACGATATATGAAATGGGTTAGTGTCGAAGCCGCCTCCTACCTCCTCGAACTATAAGATAGCCTCGGCTCATACCGT